TGGGAATGGCATCTGTCTACAGGAGTGATTGAGTTTGTTGATGCTGTACTCCATGTGATGAGTACTGAGTGTCTGCAGTGGGGGTCTGAGAGGCCAAAGCCCCTTGCTCCTTGCCCAGCATATCCTGAGAACATTAGAGGGAGAGGAAGACTCTTGGACGCTGAAGGCCATTAACATCAGTCAGCATGTTGGGAATGCTGGGTGGAGCCTGGGCTGGAGCAATGGCAGGAGAAGAGTGCCCCCAGACCTTCCTTCCAGCCTGCTATTCCCTTCTAGGTCCTGACATTTCTTCTAGGCACATACCAGCACATGACAATGAATCTGAGCCCCTCCAGGCCCCCACACTCGTCTGCGGCTGTCTCAGCTCATCTGTCAGTCACCCGATCTCCCACACCTGTTCCAGGCACAGCCTGTGAGCTGCCCACCCGCACGCACAGCTATGAATAGTGTAGAGGGAGGGGAGCATGGGGGCATTCAGAGGGCAGGAGGGCAGGTGGGGGGACCTCTTAGGGTAATAGAAGGGACAGCTTGCCTCTTAGGCTAAGAAAGGAGAGAAGCAAAGCTTGTTTTGGGGGAGGGTACTTAAAGACAGGGAAATATAAGGGGGACAAGAAATGCCTGAAGTTTAGCTGCAGGACAGGGTGTGGGGTTGTCAAGAATTGGGCTTGAAGACAAGATGCGATGTTCTGGGGTGTTTATGTCACTGGCTGGTATCTCCTGGGTCTTCAGTGTAACTACCAGGCAGGTTCTGGGCTCGACTTTGGACCCTCACTTGTGGAATCTTTCGCTCTCCTAGACCACCAGCTCATTTATGCCAATTGATCCCCACAATTATAAATTCCTTGAGAGCAGAGAAAGTGCCTCAACCTCCTTGAACTCTCCCTGCCTCTAGCAGCGTTGGGCTGGGACTGGATAAGTGTGTGACTGAGTGACTAGAAGGGCTGAGTGAGTGGGAAGTGATGATAATAACTGAGAGTGTATTTGAGATGAAATAGAGTTGAGGTACCCAGCACTCCCAGAGTAAGTGGGAGATTGTAGATTTCTCCTCTTTTCTGCCTCTACCTCTTTGTGACCAAGAGGCCTCTCTTGTCTCACCCAGCACCACCCAGAGATGAGAGATTGAACAGCAACATGGAAACTGTATTGAAGACCTACCCTGTACTGGGCATTGCCAAAACCCTGGGGATACAGGATGAACACAGCATAGTTCTTACCTCCAAGAAGCATACTGGAAGGGGGCAAGGACGTCTGAACAGATAATCACAGCACAGAGTGATGACGGGTCATGGGGGTCTGGGGACAGGGGAAGCACCCACCACCTATGTCATTGGGGAAGGCCAGGGAGGTGTTTGCACCAGTTCTTCCGAAGCCTGGAGCATGACTTTCTTTTAGGTGCTACATGAATAAACATTTTTTTCTTTAATAGTTATGTCATTGTTTTCATATATATTAGAAAAAGTGTAATCCTCGACTTCATGCCTGTATCTCTTAGAATAGAGTTAAGGGAATAAGAAAGAGTTGACTTAAAGGTGCATAGTGAGACACGTGCAAATGATGGAGCTTTAAATCATGAAATCCTGAGTGGATAAAGCCCAAGAGTCATCACCATTTTATGCCCTGGCCTCTCACCTCTTGATGCCTCCTGTTCAGGGGCTGGCCTTCCCAGGGAGCAGGGCTTTCTGCCAGCCTTTTTTTTGGGTAAGATCCAGCTCTCTGCCCTGTGCTTTTAGCTGCAGCATATCCTGAGCACATAAACTGTCCCCCAGCCCCTTTTTAGGGAACAGTCTTTCTGACAAACATGGTCTCCGAGGAGAAGCACGTGATTTGGTAAAGAAAGCCCAGGATCTGGTCCCAGTTTACCTTGTATTTAACAGGAAGACCTTGGGCCAGTCACCAAAAACCCATGCTACTTGCCCTCGAGTCAGCTTCAACTCACGGCAACCCCACATGTGTCAGAACAGAACTGTGTTCCATACGGTTTTCAATGGCTGATTGTTTTTGGAAGTAGATCAGTAGGCTCTTTTTCTGAGGTGCCTCTGGGTGGAGAAAAATTTCCAACTTAACAAATTAGCAGCCTTAACAGTTAAACCTTAACTGTTTGTACCATCCAGCCACCCCTGGGCTAGTCACAAGCTTGGTTAATTCCCAGGCTCCCCCCCCCCCTTTTTTTTTTTACTTTCCTTCTTAATGGCCTCATTAAAGCCAATCCAGAGCATATTAGAATGTGCCATTCTGTTTCAACACGGAAACTGCTTTTTTAATTCTTCATCATAAAAGTAGTGTACTTTTATTCTGTTCTATACCCTGCTTTTTTCAAATATAGTATATTATAATCATTCCACAATAGAAAATAAAAGTCCTTCTCAACATTTTTATGGCTACATAATATTCTATTTTGCTGTAAAACAATGAACATCCCCCTGCCAGTATGGAGAACGTTTTGCTCTCTCCTGGAAAAATGACTAAGCTTCCCTAATGACCAATAACAGAACTGCCTGGTGCCTGACACAGAATAGTGCCAAAACCTTCCTGGGCTTCTGGAATCCCCTTATCTTTGTGCAGAAGAGTCCTTGGTGTCAGAATATATTTAGTAAGTCTGAGTTCCCACTGTATTTATAGGGCTGCCCTCTGGTCTCTGGGTGGCACAAAAGTTTAACTAGTTAACAACTAACCGAAAGGTTGGTGGTTCAAACCCACTCAGAGGAGCCTGAGAAGACAGGCCTGGTGATCTGCACACATACGTTCTCCATGAGTCAGAACTGACTTGATGGCAACTAACAATAACAATGCTGGTTCAGCTTGGCAGTGATTTGGGGACTAGTTGTGTGGGTGGGAGGAGAGGCTTAGCCCGAAGAATAAGCCTTTTGTAGTATGTCTGTGCATTTCCACTGAGTCTTAAGTTGCTCTGTTAGCATCTCTGACTCAGATGGGGTAATTGTATGTGGGGCCTTAGTCCTAGGGGTGGAGATCCTAAGGCTTTGTGGTAGTTCAGTTTGTGTGTCAACTTGGCTGGGCCTGGTTGAGTGGCTGGGCAGCTAGATACAGTATTCCCCAGCTGGATGAGACTGGTAATCAACTCCATGGTGGAATCTACTGTGAGTAGCCAAGTAGCTGCCTTAGGAAATGTGGTCTGCTTCGTGTATATAAGCAGAAGCCTTGGGGAATGGTTTCTATGGCACGCTTGGACCCTGCATGGAGCTGTGTGTCATTGTTCAGCAGCCTGCCATGCTCTGCCGACCTGGGGACTTACAATAGACTCAAATTAATGGCCTGCCGTGTGGTTTGGTAACATCGGGACTGTGCCTTTTTACTTGTCAACCTTGGGCTTGGCAGCCTCAGCAACCAGCAGCTGTCTGAGTGAAGATAAATCTCTAGCTTCAGTGGGCTGGGAGCCAGAGGCAGAGCTGAAGCCCAAGGCTGAGGGTCTTTCACCCAGCCCCTAGGGCTTGGCACTTTGAACTTGGACTTAAAGCCTCCAAATTGTAAGGATAAACTCCTGTTTGTTTAAGCATCCCATTTGTGGTATATTTCTTGTCAGAGCGGCACTAGGTAACCAGAACAGGCTTCAAAAGTACAACTCCTATCCAAGAGTCACCAAGGCACCTGCTTGTCACCTTCAGCATCTTTCTCCCTCTCCTCGGTAGGCACTCTGCTGGATTGAGATCAACATTGGAGTTGAAGCTTAAAGACCTAGGATTGGTCACTTATCAGCCTTGTGATCTTGAGCAAGGCCTAGTTAGAGAGCCTCACTGGTAGAATTTAGACAGTGGTTCCTGCCTTATCCTTCTCACAGGGAATGTATGAAATCACCACAGAGTATTATTCTACCTTTTCTAAGAGAAAAGTACTGAGTGTAAGATTCAGATCAACTCAGCATCCAGCATGCTGCCCTCTAGCTCTGCTTTCAGCATTAGAAGGAACAGAGGCATATTTAGGGTGTGGTGAGAAGCTCAGACAGAAGACTAGTGGGTGGGCCAGTGAAGGGCCTCATAAGCTAGGCCAGGGACCAGAAGTGTTACTGTGTGGCAAAGGGACTCAATGAGAGGGCACAGAGTGATGCAATCAGACTTTTGTGATAAGAACTCTCAGAGCTGTTAGAGAATGAACCAAAGGGAGACAAGACTCATGTTGGAGAGTTTGGTCTAGAGGCTGTTAGAGAGGTAAAAAGATCAAGGATATCTGGACTCAGCAATGTCATAGAGATGGGATGAGCAGCCAGTCCCCAGAAACGTTTCTAAATTGGCAGGATCTGTGGTAACCAGTTGGACCAGAGGATGAGAGAGGAGTCTGGATAATACCAGAGTCCCCAGCCTCCCTTTCTTTCCCCTCTGTCTGCCTGCCTTGGTGGCTTTATGTTTTCATGCTTTTTCACTATCAAAATTGACTGGAAAGGTTCTGATGAATTCATTCATAGTAAAGTAGAAATAAATGACTGATACAGGTTCAAATACTTGCCGTTTAAAGGAACAAAGTCCTCAGCAGGCAGGAATGGATGGGAGTGAAGGGCAAATGGAAATGGTAACCACAAGGAGGAAGTGGGAAGAGGGCTGTTACATTGTGGGGATTGCAATCAGTGTCACAAAATAAAACATGTATGAACAGTTGAATGGAAAAACAGCTTGCTCTGTAACCTTTCACTCCAATCACAGTTTAACAAATTAAACAAAAACCTAAATAAATAAATAAAAGAACAAAGTCTTAAATTATAAAACTTGAAGCACTAAAGATAACAGGTGTCTTGGCATCTGAGTGGGCAACGGTGGCTTGAAACTAATGCAGGTCTTAATGTTTTCTTTTTCCACTGATTGGGCAACACAACCAGTCTATCAGGCCTTGATGTGTGGGAGAAGTAGAAGCTTTCCAAGTTCTTTTTAGGCCCTCCTGGTTTCTTCCTAGCCCAAGACTGTGGACTAGGACCCAGAGGCCTGCTTGACTCCATCCCTCCCATGGGGCCTCTGTTGATGTATCTGACCACTTCCACTTTTCGTGTCTCCCTCCAGGCAGACCTCAACACCAACATCGAGGATGAAGGCAGCTCCTTCTATGGGGTCTCCAGCCAATACGAGAGTCCCGAGAACATGATCATCACCTGCTCCACCAAAGTCTGCTCTTTTGGCAAGCAGGTGGTGGAGAAAGTTGAGGTAGGTGGCCACCTGGTAGGTGAGGGGTGGGGGCTTGTGATGTTCTTTGCTAGAGCTCCTGTGAGGATAGGCCTGCTCAGAGGTGACCTTGCTGTGGCTTCCATCTGCTTTCAGGAAGAGTGGCCTCCAGTTGCCGGACCATCCATCAACCTCCTTGTTGCTCCTCTCTCCTGTTAGTGCTGTGTGCTTCACTCGGGTCCCCTTAGTCCACCACCTTGCCCAGTCTGCCAGAGCTATTAAACGTCCCAGGCCAAGAGTACCTCTGCTAAGCACCTCCTTACAGGCATCCCTAGTCCTCTTCCAGAGCAGAGATGCGGCACAAGCAGGGGCCTCAAGGGACTATCCAGCCCTTTCATTTCACAGTGGAGACCAAGAGAGAGGATAGCCTTCCCCAGGTCACGTGATTAGCCAATGGCAGAAGCAGGGCTAGCTAGAGCTCCTGGGTCTTTGTCCCCTGCTCTTTCAAACTCCAGCTTACTTTCTGTTCTACGAATGCTAAAGAGTGTTCATGTCCCTGATTTTTCATTTATGGGTACCCTGGAGATCTTGTAGTAATAACAGTTACAGAAAACCTGCTCCTAATCCTCCCTGGCCAAAGACAGTGCAAGGTTAGTTCAGAGGGCTGGGATTTGAATCCTAGCTCCCCTGCTTCTGGCTAATGTTTGGGGATCAAGGAGTGGAGCAGATAAAATTCTTCATTTAGCCCTAAACAGGTAACAGGTTATCCTTGTTGTTTATTGATGGAGACTCCTTCCTGCAGTTCTGTTTTACTGGCTCCACTGTGTAATAGGAGTGATAAGAAGATGAGACCAGAAGGCCTTCAACCAAAAACACCTCCACACTCTGAGAATCTGTGATCTTTTGCATTCCTGTAGATTTGTTAAATCAAACCTTTTTACTATTTCAGGGTCTTCTTCCCTATCCCTGCCTTTCCCCAAATTTGAATGAATTAATGAAGTCTTACTTTAATCATCTGTCAGTTTTTTATAATCCACCAATATTAGTTTCTGTCAAGTTGACTCAGACTCATAGCAACCCCATGTGTGTCAGAGTAGAACTGTGCTCCATAGGGTTGTCAATGGCTGATTTTTTTAGAAGTAGATCATCAGGCCTTTCTTCCAAGGCTCCTCTGGGTGAACTTGAACCACCAAACTTTTGGTTAGCAGCCGAGTGCATTAACCACCTCATGTCAAATACAACCGGATGCTGGGCTAGTACCAGGGAGGAAACCTTCCTCCATCCCAGTGGTTCTCAACCCTGACTGCATCTTAGAATCACCTGGGGAGCTTTTGAAACACAACAATGCCTGAACCCAGGCACATCAGTCAACTCGAAGTCTCTGGGCAAAAACAGTTTTTTAAAAAAACTTTCCCAGTTTATTTTATTTTCAGTTAAACTTTTTTAAAATTTTGAGGTAATCGTAGATTCACATGCAGTTGTAAGACATGATACAGTGAGATCTCATGTACCCTTCACTCAAGTTTCCCCCAGTGGTAACATCTTATATAGCTATAGTGCAAGGTCACAACCAGGAAACTGGCATTGATACAATCTACCTGTCTTATTCAGATTTCACCAGTTTTACATGTACGTGTGTATGTGTATGTGTGTGTAGGTATGTAGATTTGTGTAATTAACATCATAGACAATTAGATCACCACAAGATTCTCTGGTGCTGTGCTTTCCCCCATGTTATTTTAATGTGCTGTCAGGATCAAGAGCCACTACTATAGTTTCCCCATGGAGTTGGGCCTGGGCTGGAGGTGGTCAAAGAGATTCTAAGCCACTGCTGTCCCCTGGGTCTGCAGACAGAGTATGCCCGCTATGAGAATGGCCACTACTCCTACCGCATCCACCGGTCCCCGCTATGTGAGTACATGATCAACTTCATCCACAAGCTGAAGCACCTGCCTGAGAAGTACATGATGAATAGTGTGCTGGAGAATTTCACCATCCTGCAGGTATGTGAAGAGGGTCTGTAGGTAGAGGATGAGAGTTGACAAGTACCCCCTTATGGGACTTAAACTCTCATCTTTTTCTCACCCACAGGTGGTCACCAACAGAGACACGCAGGAGACCTTGCTGTGCATTGCCTATGTCTTTGAGGTGTCAGCCAGTGAGCACGGGGCTCAGCACCATATCTACCGGCTGGTGAAGGAATAGAGACTTGGGTGGTAGGGAGGGAGAGACGTGTGTGCAGGAAATGGGGACAAGGGGAGGGGACCTGCAGGGACAGCCTCCTGGAATGCCAAGAGAGTTGAGAGGAGAGGTCATGACTCTTCCTGCCGAGGAACAAACTGCTGAACCTGCAATGCCCCACCCCAAATAAACCCAACATGCTGTGTATTTTCAGAAGACCTGGTCTGGCTATATGAGCCTTGGGAGGGACTGGGGAAACATGTCGGATAGAAGGGTGGGGCCTTAGGGAGGCAGGCTGGATGTGATGCCCTGCCTCCCAGGCAGTTCTGAAGCCAGTGCTCCAGTGGGCTCAGCCAGGAATATTGGCACCAACACTGAAGCTCAAGATGTGATGGTCCCCCAGCTGCTGCTACTCCAGACCCTGGCCACCCTGGGAGACCTGAGAACAGCACATGGATTCTTCATTCTGTTCATCCTGCCTGTGCACCCATACACATCTCCTTGAACGTGAAGGCATCACATACTTGACCCCTTCTGCTGCCACTCCCCCAGGACAGCTAACACAGGAGGCCTGGGCCAACCTGGGGGTTGAGTTTTAGGTATTGAGGTAACAGGTTGTTGTGAATGGTAGAAAAGGACACAGAGCTCTATTAGTTTTTATCCATTTCCAGTGGGCAAGAATTCCACAGCTAACATCCTCTCCGATGGTAGCCATGCTGGCTTGCTGGGAGATTGGTCCTGATGAGAGGAGCCCAAAGCAAGGAGAGCAGGAATGATGGTGCTGAAGCCAGACCAGGGTGGTATCATGCAGCATCCTTGCTGGTGATGAAGGCCAAGAACATTAATCAGAGGTCTGGCTGGGCCAGTGGTCTCTGCGACCCCTTTAGTTCTGATGATGAGTCTAACCTCAAAATCCCTCCCAGCTAATGTACCTGTAGGAGCTCTGGTAGCATAGTGCCTAAGGCACTTAACTACTAATCAGAAGGCTGGCAGTTCAAACCCACCAGCCGCTCCTCGAAAGGAAGGTGGGGCAATCTACTTCCTTAGTGATACTGCCTTGGAAACCCAAGGAGGGGTCGCTATGAGTCGGGTCCGACTCAACGGCACATAACAACAACAACAATGTGCCTATTGGGGTGGTAACCTCCTTGGAGCTAATCCTAGGCAGTCTAACTCCCTCCTCAAAGGGTAGTTTCTGTACTCTCCTAGGATGAAAGAGGAGGAGGGTGGAACCCACTCTGGGCCCAGAGTTAACCAAGTGAAGGCATCCCCTAACTTAATTCTCCTGAGCTTTGGGTTTTGGCCATCCTGGCTCCAGTCCTAGAATTCCTGGCTACCTGGCTTTGGACAGATTTCTCAACCTATCTGAGTCTTTGTGCCCTTTCCTCTCTGTCAAGTGGAAAGACAACAACACCTGCCTTAGAAGGCCTTAGTGAGGAAGGGGGAATAATGTCTATAAAATGTCTGGTGCAAGAGGCAGTAAATAAACAGGCTCATCAGAGACCTGTGAGTCCTGCTTTTTACTGCCACCTAGTGGCTCTTTGGTACTTTCCTTGATAACCAGTTGTCGGCAAGTAGATTCCAACTCACAGCGACCCCATGTGTGTCAGAGTAGAACTGTGCTCCATAGGGTTTTTGGTGGCTGGTATTTTGGGTCCAGATCACCAGGCCTTTCTTCCAAGGCACCTCTGGGTGGATTTGAACCTCCAGCCTTTTGGTTAACAGCTGAGTACATTAACGATCTGTACCACCCAGGGACTCCATCTTCCCTGATAAGAGCCACGGTTCTAGTAATGAAGATCTAACCTACAGGTGGGTCCCAGCACTCAGAGTGATAATATGTGGGAATACAAAAGATAAGACAGCATCTCGGAGGTGTTACAGACTGATAGTTAAGGAGCAAGGCCTCTGGAGCCAGACTGCAAGGATAAGAATCCTCCTGGTGCTCTGCTACTGACTAACTGAGACCTTGAAACACATTAATTTCACTGTGCCTTGGTTTTCCCATCTGTAAAATGGGTATTGCAATAGTACCTACCTCATATATGTGGAGTACCTAGCATAGTGCCAAGGAGCTCTGGTAGCATAGTGCCTAAGGCACTTGACTGCTAACCAGAAGGCTGGCGG